ATTGGGCCACTTCGAATCTCCTTCATATGACGGAATTCTTTTAGAGCTGCACAGTAGTTCTGCTGTTTCTGGTAGAGCAATTTTACCAGCAGCAAATTTTACAATTACCAGCAGCGCTTTTTCTTGCATTGTAGACATGATGTGCAGAGAAGTAGCTAATGCTTGTAAAGAATCCACCTTCTTTTTATCCTAAGAATAATGCTAATAGGCATGTGCTGTAATGTAAATGATGTTTTACATTTTCAATATTCAATATTTCAAATAAATACAATTTGTGCTACAGCACCACCTATCGGCAGATTTTTGTACTAAAATGTTTTAATAAATTTCAGGCACATCATTTAAATTATTATTTGTAGTTCAGTTCAATTTTATCTCATTTAGACCAACAGAACGCATTCTAGATCCCTGTGAAGTGAGAAACTAATTTTTTGCTAACCTCATTACGTTACAAAAAGACTTCTTCCTTTTAATTACACCTTAAATAAAAATGCTTCAGATTATATTTTATATTTTTATCTACATTATTCTGAATGCCTTTTATCAATACTAAATTAAATTATTCTCATAAACAATACTGCACAATGTTTTACCCAAATTGAAAAGCATTTTACCAGGTATTTTGCTAGCTACCATGCACTGAAAATAGCTAACTCTAAATATTTGAATCTTTATAAAACTTTTATAAAAATCTCAATGAAAGGGGGGGAAAGCTGAACATTAGAAAGGATCAACCTTACAAGAGGTACCTTTAAATATCTGAACAACAGAAAAAAAAAAAAAAAAAAAAAAAAAAATAGACTGCATATCATTTTGAAGAAATATACTAGCAAGCTACCAAAAGGAAAAGAGAGGATGATCAATTTTTTTTTAATTATACTACTAAAAAACTAAAAAGAAAAATGTCTCATTAACATTTGGATGGACAGCAGTAGAGAATACAAACAGCTTTCTGATAAGGTGCTTTTAAATCAATGTTGACATTTGCAAGCATGAAGCTTATAAAGATTTTCTCTGTTCTTATTCCTTTATTAAATAGAAATTTAGTAAGCCGAATATAGTTCCAGATTTAAAGCTACCCCATATAAACTGAATTTGATTTCAAAAAGGTATCATTCATCACTAAACAAACTCAATATTTTTGCACATCAAATATTTATTGTGCATTTCATACATATTATATCATATAAAACATTATAAAGTTATTCACATACTAATAAATATATAAATGCAATGAATTATTAAAATGTTTTATGATGTTCTTAATAGAATATGCCAGTATTTATTTGAATTTGTTGCAACTTTTGAGATTTTAATGCAAAAGTATGCATAATATGATTTATTCACATTATAATGCCACTGTTTTTTATTCTACTATTGGAATATTTGCAGGGCTACACTTGATCTGGCAATGCTATTTAGTTTAGTAACCCTAATATATGTGAAGTGAATTATCACTATGTCTAACAAAGTCATGAAAAGGTTAAAAATAACAAAGTCATAATAACAAAGTCATGAGAAGGTTAAAAATACCCTTTTTTATTTAAACAGAATTCAGAACACAATGCACTCTCTTGTACTACAATTTCCACAACTCATGGTGATAAAAGATAAAACAGAACAGTCCAAATTAAATCAAAAGTTGAACGGTAATCAAAGACTAAACAATTAATTACTATACTAGAAGCTGGCTCACTACTCTACCTAAGCATCAGAATTAAAATGTCAGCAGCAAGAAAGAGCAAAGACGAATAATTGCAACTATTAAAGCTGGCAGGAAACTAACACATGATGTGGGCACAATGCCAGAAACAAGCTCTTAAAATCCAAAAACCTAATTTTATATACTGGCCACTCATTTGCATTTCGGTGAGGAATACGGAATGGAGAAATTACAGTAAAGGCTGAAATTATAAATAACTGGTTAATCAACACAAAATTCCCTACATATTCATTTACAACACATAAATCTGAAATAACAGCAAATAAGATTATTTACAAACAGTTTGCTATTAAGAATGAAACAGTTTATGAAAATGAATTATTAAGGAGTTTACTACTGAAAAACAAGTTGGGAACTACTGTTTTAAAAGAAAAGGCATATGCACTATCATAAATTAGCACTCTACTATGGAAATATGGAACATCAGATATCAGTTATTAGAAAAATGAAAGGCATCATGATTTGCATTAAAAGAACTTCCTTTTTTTAAAACGAAGTTGAAATTCTGTAAAAGATTATCTTGTCATGGAGATATAAAATACTTTATATGCCTATTTCATAGAAGGTTCATTGCGTGAAAAATATAATACTTCTGGAAGACGTGAGGTTATATTAGTTTTTAAATGAGTGTTAATGTGTTATATTCAAAGTCTGTGAAATCTGATATATATATAGTTAAAAAAGTTAAGGACTGTGTCTTAAAGAGTTGCACTACTAAATCCTACCCACAAAGTAAAACCATTTTAGCACAATAAACTTAACATTTCTAGTGGTCTTCAACATACTTCTTACATTCCTTCTTTGATATATTCTTCAGTTCAAACTGCACTTTTATTCTTTAACACCAAACTGCACTTTCACTCTTCAACACTAAAGAGATAAGAAATAAATTTTTTGGAAGACAGAATTATCCTTTTAAACTATAAAAGTAAAGTGTCCTTTATTTGATCCTTGGGCTGAAGATCTGACTCGAAAAGAATTTGCAAGGAGAGACAAGACAGGACAAGAGTCCTTGTTTTGATGAAAATTTAAATGTGCAGCAACAGCACCCATAACTTACTGATCCAAACTTCAAACTCATTATGAATATTAAATATGATAACAAAAAAACATAACTCTTTTTTTTTTTAATTCTTCCTTTAGCAGAAAATTTACTTACTATCATATAGTTGATGCTCATTTTTTGTAGTGTCTAACATCTCTGGAACAAGAGGAAAAATTCAATGCCATTTAAAGATTTCTGAATGAAAAAGTGTTATCACTATAAATTTCCTTCAACATTTCGAAGGCTGCCATTTAAATTTTGCTCATATGCTGCTCAACCCAAAAAATTTTATCTTCAAGCATCATCAACTAAACATAAAGATGTACGAAAAAGCCATGTAGGATAACTGGAGAAAACAAGTCAGCAGTAAGAAATATATGAGTATCTCAGCCAAGGGATCACAAGGAGTTTATATGCATGTTCTTCTATAAGAATCTAGGCGCCAAACTTCTAGAGCTCATCATCCATTTTCCATATGTAAATAGTTCTAACAGTACCAGAAATATCAGATTTGATGATCTGGAAATATTAGACTTCATAATCTGGAGATAATTGACAAAGAAACACCAAACAAGATGATTTTTTGAAGGTTCTGGAAACTTTGAGGTGGTATTAGGAAAAAATATAAACAGACATGCACAAACTTTTACACTTTTCCCATCTGCCATTAATCTATACACAGAAAAATACACTGTTTGACATTTTTAGTTAAGCAAAAGATCTTCACTGCGTGATATTGATGTCATTGTTATAATTACACAGCAACTCACTTTCAAAGCACATTTTTTAATTCTTTTGCCCTCCTAATCCCATAGAAACACTCAATACTTTAATAAAAAAATATGAAATATGTTCCTGTTCTTCCCATGATTATCATATGTTAAAGGCAGTATGATGAACAATTTAATGATTTCAGATTTCTTATTAAGTTGCTCAATCAAAAAATCATAAATAAATTCAGAGAAAGCATTAACACATAAGTACATAATAACAACAGCAAATTCCCTTAATTAAGGAAAACAAATTTTATTAATCAGCAAAATCCTTATCAGTTTTTAATTTCAGCTGAGAAATATCAGAGCATTCTTCGAAGAAAAGTTTTAAAAATTTCCATAAATTTTTCAGGAAAAGTGGAATAGTTTAATACGAAATTCTGTTACTCATCCGTAAAAACTTCTGAAATAAAGATTAAAGAACCTATATTTTTTATTCCAAGAAAAATTTAACCATTTATATAAGTTTATCAAGCCTCATAGGATATAGCTACAGTGCACAAAAAGAAACTAATACAAAGAAAAAAAACAATAATATTATATTGACTGCAGCAGGAAAAAAAAGTATTAAATTATTTATTCCTTTTTATGATGGATCAAAACAAATAAACAGTCTAAATTTTACACAAATTGAAACAAATTTAGGTAATGTCGTATTATCCACCTAACCTTCATAAGAATATTGGGAAAAGCCTTGTGTCGCCAAGGTTGACAACCCAGAATTTTATAAGAATGTATTAATCTGGTAACCCACTAATGGTTGCACATGTATTATGACAGCGTGTAATGCCACTATTTTTGGTAGTTTTGGTAGTAATTTGATTAATGAGTGGAGTCCTCCCCTTCTTGTAATGATTCCTAATGCTAGTGTGTGCCTGCTACTGAAAAAGAAAGTACTGGATTTTTTTCAGAAATATGGCATATTGCCTAATGAAAATCACCTAATAGAAGGTGCATTCCATGGAGTTAATTTGTGCAATATTTTTTTAAGTTAAAACAAGTTTTTTAAGTTAAATAAGTTAAAACAAGTCCATTGTGTACATGAACAGAAGTGTTAGTTTGCTCTGCAATGTCAAGAATTCAGTAGTTCTCCGATTCTTTTCTTAAGCAGATCACTATGCACATGCAGAGCAGACTGAGAAAATAGAAAGTGTTCTATTACAGACTTTTGTTGCATTTTTAATTTAATTAATTTGTTAGTTTTATGAAATTTTATTATGGATGTTTACGTAATTTTTATTGTTCCTTGCAAATTAGAGATTACAGATGTCTGTTGGATTTTTAATTTCATTCATTTCTTGCTGTTTTATTACTTTTCAGTGCACTACAATTCTCTTTAAAATGGCTAACATTTTTCACGTGTTAGGTTGGTGAAAAATTGGCTGCCAATAATTGCCGACTGGCGGATAACAAGAGAGTACCCAAATTTAGATTTAAGATACTTAACACAACAGTTCAGTTTTTTTTTTTTTTTTTTTTTTTTTTAACTTACACATGATTTTGGCACAGTTGTATCAACCAGATTCATATCTACAGTTTCATTTTCTGGAGTATCTGTATGTGGAGGTAAAATTACTACAGGACTCACATGTGCACTTAAATCAGAAGCTACCAGAAAATTTGGAGGATTCTGCAAAGAAAAATTTTGCAAATACAGTTTTAAAATTTAATCAAAAATTAAATATAAAAACAACAGGTATTATAATAATAATCTTATTTTTTATCAAAAACTACCCACTGAAAAATTAGTGCTATCAATTTTAATTTGTATTTATACCTTAATACATTAAGTAACTGAAAAGTTTCATGCAACTAGAGCAAACTAAAAATTTACTTTCATATTAAATTTAATTAAAAATCAAAAATATTTTAATTTTCAACAAAATTTACTTCCAGATCTCGTACTATATTTATGTAAAATATTTCCACTTAACTGAAACTTTTGTAATACAGTTCTTGAAATTTCTGCTTTAAAATACCACATATTACCATTCAAAGGTCATTTTTTAAAATTAAAAATTTCCATATGGTTATACATAAGAAATATGATATGAAAATTCATCTTCTGAAAACAAACTGTTTGTTGACCATGCTATTAATATTTAACAAATAAAATTGCAAAAAACTGCAACAAGCAAAAATGCAATAAGCAACTTAATCAAATAATCATTTCAAATTAATACCTGATATATACCTGGATAATGAATAACTTTCCCCCATCAGTTATTAATCGATATTCAGTGTTATTGATCTGATACATGCTTTTAAATTAAGGAGATTAAATTAAATTTCAACTAAGGAAAACTGCAAAATTTGATTTAATTTTTCTTAAACGCAAAAAAATGTAAACTAATATTTTATAAAAAAAAACTAAAACTAAACTCAGTGGCGTAACAGCCCTAATGGCCAAGGCCTGCAGTGCCCAAAATCTGCTTTCTTGACCGTGGGCTGCAGGGTGTGTAAGCATATGCCCTGAACAAGTGGTCAGCTTGGTCACAGGACCCCCAGCGTTTAGTCCCTAAGCATACTTGGTGCTCATTTTATCTGCCCAAGTGATGGAAATCAAGGGATGAAAGGCTAAGTTAACCTTGCCCAGCTCGGGAATCAAACCCCGGACCTGTGGTGCTGCTGCGTGATGCACTAGCCACCGCGCCACCGGACCTAATATTTTATAAGCCTATAAATTTAATTAAATGAATTATAAGGAGATTCAAATGAGTTATTAAAAAAATATGTATATAATTAACGATGATTATTGTTACCATCTAAAATGCACATCAGTTATTTACAGAATAATTTAATGAATTTTTTTAAATCAAAATAACTTTGCAAAAATGCCTGAATTCATTTTACTTTATTTATCATATTTGTGTATACATATTCCCAATTATTTCACCTTTGTAATCTTCATTATCAATATGATATTTGACATTTATAAAATGTTACTAAGAATGCTCCTAAGGCATTTTCCCTTTTCTGAGAATAAAAGACTTTTTATGCTATGGTTAAGTATTAGAAAATTTAATAGTTACAAGAAGACAAAACTTTTATTTGCATAAATTAGCAATTAAAATTACTCCTACTTACTGAAATAAAAACACAAAAAGAACTTTAATATGTGAGCTTAAGCAATTAATGTCAGAAAATCATTTTAAAATATTTTAATTTTCCTGCAGAGTGAAAAATGGCCAATGCCTAGCAAAGTGTATTTTCTGGTTTGAAAAGTGTTCTTATTGAAAAGCATGCTACTCCTAATACTGGAAAATTGGATTTTTTTAATTATCTCCAAAATGTCTAACTAATAAAGACGTCTTCAAATTAATGAATAATTCTACTACTCAAAATTTGATGTAATTATGTTTCACTGACCATAATAAATGTTTCAAATATCATTTTTAATAATGCATATTAACATATGAAATTTTGAAAAATTTTTACACATCAGCTTCAAATGCTGTTACATAATACCTGCTAACAAACAACAGTAATATATTTAAAATATATCCATCTCCCCTTATTTTCTTTTCTTACAGCATACTAAATTACTTTAAAAGTATTTTTAGCTTTTAATGTATCCGATGTAAGGTATTTACTCGTGCATCCCTCCCTCAGGGCAAAAGGTTTTGAAATTTTCTTTTAATATTCATATTACGAGGGCCATCCAGGAAGTAGATTACGTTTCCGTCTGTGTCCGCTAGGGGCGGGGCTAGCGCGGCCATCTTGGGGTCAGAGCGTTGCGCAGCTCAGTCTGCATCTAGCCGTGCTAGTGAGAGGTTCGTGCTGTGCTCCGTTCAGATACTGTGACGGTTTGAAATGTCTGCGTTAATTGAAAATCCTGCGAGGTGCGCTCAGTAATAAGGTTTCTGACTGCAAAAAACTGTTAAACCGATAGAAATCTATCGGCAGCTTCGTGAAGTGTATGGGGACAACATTATCACTGAAGGTGGAGTGCGTCAGTGGGTCATAAGATTTCAAAATGGCCGAACCAATGTTCACGACGAAGATCAAAGTGGGAGACCCAGCATAGTGACCGCCGAACTTCTCGAAAAAGTCGATGCTAAAGTCCGTGAAAATCGAAATTTCACAATAACGGAACTTTCTTTGAGTTTTTCCACAAATTTCGCGAAAGTTTGTTGCACAAAATCATCAGCGAAAAAGCTGGTTACCACAAGTTTTGTGCAAGATGGATTCCAAAAATCTTGACAGAGGACCACAAAAATCAGCGAATGGCTGCAGCGTTGAACTTTTTGGACGCTTACCATAAGGATGGTGACTCTTTACTCGATCGCATCGTTACTGGTGACGAAACATGGGTGAAACATGTGAACATGGTGAACTGTGAAACGAAATTGCAATCAATGCAGTGGGGGGCACACAAGTTCTCCCAAAAAAACCCAAGAAATGCATGCAAACAATGTCGGCAAGGAAGATGATGGCGACTGTTTTTTTTGGGACAGAAAAGGTGTAATTTTGGTGGACTTCCTGGAAAGAGGCACTACAATAACTCTCAAAGGTATTGCCAAACTCTCCAAAAACTCAGAAGAGCAATTCAAAACAAGCGCAGAGGAATGTTGAGCTCTAAGATCTTGTTGATTCACGACAACGCCCGGCCCCACACGGCAAATGTCACTCGTAAAGTTCTTGAATCTTTTAAGTGGGAGAGTTGTTTCCTCATCCGCCGCACAGTCCCGACCTGGCACCGAGCGACTTCCACCTATTCCCAGCAATGAAGAAGTGGCTGGCTATGCAGCGTTTTGATGACGACGCACAGCTGCAAGAAGAGGTAACGAAGTGGTTGAAGGCGCAGGCGGCCGAATTTTTCGACGAAGGAATTTCCAAGCTCGTACATCGCTACGATAAATGCCTTAATTTGTATGGTGACTATGTAGAAAAGTAGTATTTGAGTGTGGCTTTCATCTGTATATAATAAAATTTGTTTCCTATACTTTGTTTATTTTTTTATTCCAAAACGTAATCTACTTTCTGGATAGCCCTCGTATTTTCCACTTCCTCAAGGTGTTCAGAAAATGAGTTCCTCTACACTTAAAAATGAATTCAACTACACAGTGACTGTTTTCGTCTTACTAAATGGATTTGCTCATAGATTTTGGATTAATGGGTTTTGAATGATGGAACAAAAAATAGTGAAGAGCTTTCTTCCCCCCCCCCCCCAGCACACACACACCAAAAAAAAGAGAGAGAGATCTAATGCTTATATTAGTTCTGAATATCATTGCATGTGAGAAAACAAACTGAATAGTGACAAAGACAATGTCGATGACTAGAAAAGGTATAGCAATAGTAGCGATTAAACACTAGTTGACTTAGACTTAGAGCTTAGAGAGTAGCAGCAGACAACAGTAAGAATGATGCAAGATTCACGATTCAGGGAAATAAAAATGAAGCTCTCTTATTAGATATTGTAATATTACTGCATATTCTTATTATAATGTAAGTTTCTTTCAAACAAATAACATTGTAATAGTTACCAGTAATTAATCCATGGATACTTTTCATTTGTTGTTTTCGTACCATAACTGCATCTTTCGAAAATTAAATTATTCATACAACTTTCCCCTCCTGATTTCCATATAATAAAATTAATAGAAAAAAAGGGAGAAAACTGCACAAGTAAATACAGTGTTTGATAATTTCAGATCCCAAACTGCATTTTCACATTTAACCATTATATTCAGTGAAATCAAATGTTAAATATCATGAATCTGAAATTACAAATGCATAAACAATAAGATGACAGAAAATTTAAGAAATGGTGTTATTTCAAAATATATAACATAAAAGGCTAAACATTTCTAATATGAAGCATGGAAATGCATAAAATGTGCTTTTTAAATGTACTTTTTACCTATTATACGAGTGAAATTACTTGATTTATCAAACTATTTAAATTATATAATCAAAATTCACACTTTTTAAAGCATACTGTAGCTAAATACATTTACAGATTTGCATCTCGGCAACCCCCCCCAACCCCCCCCAAAAGGCTGACTTGCAGTTTTGAGCTTGCTGTGATTGTTTATAACAAATAAAATTGCAAGAAGTATTACATAAAATATGTTGACATAAATCATACCTCAGGAAGTAATGGTACATGAATCAGATGCTTAAAATATTGAAGATTACTCGCACTCACATAAAACTGTTGTAAACTGTAATATAAAATTTTACATAATTATACGAAAAAGAAAAGTGAGAAGAAAGATATAAACTATTTAAAATGTAAATAATAAACTTTAAAAGAAAAATAAAAAGCATACGATTTGAACTGTTTCAGGAAACGCTCTCTGTGTCCAGTTAATGTGTCAGGTGGCAAAGCTAAAACATTGCATTAAATTACATAAATACATTGATACAGCAAAATTTTGTTCATTACACACAATTTTTAAAAACTCATTTTTAGCTCTAATAATATTTAAATGAATAATATTTTCTTGAATATACTGCATTATTAAGTTTAATGTTAACATTTAAATTTCTCTCTAAAGAATCAGTATTTTTTTAAGAGCATAAACATGTGACAGAATTTATGCTTTAAATGCAAATGTCAATGATAAGGGATTGGCAAGTTCCTTTCCTAGAAACCATGAAAAAAACCTCACAGAAACAATTTGGCATACAATTGAGAAACAAGGAGGTAGTTAAAATACATTTTCTTTTTTGCAGCATGAAAAATATAGATTACTGTAACTCTTCATTTACTTTCTTTTTAAAAAATGAATTTTTGCTTAAAAAATGAATGCTTATGTAACTATTTCAAACATGAACTTTTTATTATTACAAAAAATTTAACTGAACCTTTTCCCCACCCCAAAATTTTGGGGAAAAATTATTTCTTCTAATTTTTTCCCCTTCTTCAAGGTTCACATTTTCCCCAACTTTCTCTCAATGTTTTCACTTTCCTGACTTTCCAACACTTTGTGGAGACCTTGTATAATTACTTATTTAAAAATTGTAACTATTTAAAATCCTCTTCAGAAACAGCAATGTGCAAATACATAAAATGCATATCTATCATATTCAAAAATTTCTATAAATATTCTCAATGAATATTTTAAAATTTTGAAAGAGAAAGACCCAAAACTTAAGCCTGTTTTACAGCATATATTTTGTGACATGTATTTTAAAATGTAATAAAAATAGTAAACAGCCCACAAATAGAATTTATTTTTTAAAATTCACATCAGCATAGACATAACTTACCTGAATGAAGTTTAAAAAGCACTTTAACTGTATAATCATACAACTGACTTGAATCTTGAATACAAGGAATTAAAGGTGCAAGTCGACACTGGCCACAATTTGTCATGGAATTTGATCTTGACATATCCAATGAACCAAAAACTTAAAAAGAAAAAATTTCTCTTGAAATTAGATCTAAAATCTAAATGAACTTAAAATTATTAATTAATTAAATTAAATTAAAAATTAAAAGCCTCAAAACAAAATTATATTTTTTTTAAACCTACCTGATGATTGAAGCATCAAAATTTCATCCATGTAGTCAAAAAATTCACAACTCAGTTGAAAGCTGAAATGAAAAATTAATTATCACTATATCTTCAAATAAGAAATATAAAAAATATATTATGACAAGTAAAGCTGATTTACTACAACAGCGCAGAACATGAACATTTTTACTTACAATACATTAACATCTCTTTCCCCTATGTCATCTAATTCTTCATCAGTTACCGATAAATTGCCAGGAAAACGTGGATTCTATTAAAAGATTCTACATTAAATGATATGCATATACACACAAAAAAAGAAACTCACTGACAAAGATAGACAAAGAGGACTTTATGTGTTATCTTACAAAGGAAGATTACCGGGATTAATAGGCATTTGCAGAACTCAGTTTCTAATAAAACCAGAGCCCATAAACAAAATATTTATAATAGAACCATTATTATAAAACCAATATGCTCATTTAAAGGCATTTTTATTTTATTTTTTTATTATTATTATTTCCAATGACGGGCACTAGCCACTATAGGCATTGGTCACTACTAAGACTGGAAATGGTGGTCACTTTAATATGGAAGCACCTAACATATGGGCCACCACTGCCTCCTATGAAAGGACACACCAGCTCTGGAATTCCAATCCAGGCCCTTCAGTACAGCAGTCAGTGTCACTAATCACTTTCCCGCTTGGGTGTCAAAGGCTGATTCAAGCTATTTTAAAGGCCAGGGACAGTCCTATTTATGATATTAGAAGCATAATGAGACATGTTTCCATTATTGTGTATAACATTCCAAAGCTACGATGTCATTACATGTATCAGGCATCACCAAAATGCAGCTCTCTGGCCCACTAGTGTGGCTAACAACTTGCATTAGGCCATTTAGTGCAATTCTCTTGCAACAAACAACAGTTTTACTTTTGAAGTAAAACAGCATTTTGATACACTTCTTCAACAATAAATAATTCAACTTTTTAAAATGTACATTATATGTGTAATTAATTAACTTTCTGCAAATTACAACCAAAGTAATGTTATTTTTAGAAATGGCCACAGATGCAGCATGAAAGGCAGATATGAAGGTCATTTAAAAAATGATGCAGTCTGAATTTTTTCTCTTAGATCTGTTTGATTTTTATGCAATTTTTCTACATAGCCTTCTAGTATGTAATCTGCCTGCATCTTAATAACTGAGACCCAATACAATAACTGAGACCCAATACCTTAAAGAATCTGTTATTCTAAGTAGGGTATCTCTTCCATTCAATCTTCATATGGATTACATAACTGCTAGAAAAAACTCTTTTATAGAGTTTATAACTTCTTCACTCTTGCACCTAATAGGCAGCCACTGTTGCCTCATATGAAAGGACGGACAATTACAACCATGCCTTTTCCGGGATTCGAACCTTGGAACTTTGGTACTGCAGCCGCTCCCCTAACCACTACAATGTCTGGTCGGCAATGATCTCAATGTGACAGGCCAGCAGTTTGATTTAAGAAAAACTGACATTATGATATCTTTATACATATGCTTTACATAAGGAACAACCTTGCTATAAAATAGCTTGAGGTTTCATATATTTCTGCAGTACAAAGTCACAGATCCAGACTCGGACTTACGCAATTCGGGATTTGGAATTTTTCTGGATATTAGATCATCAGTTTAAATCTAGTAAGATGGCATGAAGATAATATTAAAAACATGAAATCGTGATTTATAAAATAATGAAGAATTCATGATCTAAAGGGTATCAAAATTTATATAAAAAGAAGCTTAATATTTATTTTTTTACGCTATTAAACATTTCTTTCAAGTTGTTTAAGTTGCTTCGTTTTTTTGTGTTAATACTTTCTCTTTCAATTCTATAAACAGACATAATTTCTTATTCAGTTACAAAGTACCACTGTTGAAGTCCTGTAATTGTCGTGTCTAGAATTCCGACTAACTTATCAATCAAAATTTTTTCTCATTACTCTGTCTGTAGCAGTATTTTATGGATGTACAATCATACTACAGATTTCACCAACTGGTAATTGATTGAGGATTGAGGAGCACTGTCATCACAGTGAAAAACTTCTTTTATATCCTCTTCATTTATTACCGCTTCTCCAGATTTCTTTACAAAACCAGCTAATTGGAAAATTTCACCTTTGGTTTGCGATATCCGATAGCCTTCAGGAGAGCCACCAGTTTCAAGGCTATCTTCATAAAATTTAGCCATTTTTCATTACACATATATTATGAGATTGGCAACTAAAGACCAGTTGTTCTGCTAAATTTTATCTTGCTTCTATAGCGCACTGAGATAATTAAGCCTGAATTTATTAGGTAAGTTATTTATTATACTTATGCCTATTACTTGCACATGGCATCAGGAGTATAAAATAATAGTAGGTGTAAAATCAACGATGTAGCTGTAGAATATTTCTTTTTGAGATGTATGCTACCTGCAGCTACGGAGCCAAATTATTGATCATACAAATTTATGCTAAAATGTTTGTTTCTTCAATAACACGGTATTCTATTTAGTGCCGAAGTTAAATTAAGAATCGGGACTCTCCATACAAGCGCGGGGGGTATCAAATATGCATGCATACAGCACACACACAAACACAATTTTTTTTTTTTTTTTTTTTTTTTTTTTTTAAGTTGGTAGTGGCCTTTGAGTTCTGGAATTTAGATCATTACGGATATTGGACGTCCGGATCTCTGGCTTTGTACTGTATTTTTAAATAAGCAGTATCTAAGTTTCAGAAATGGTCAGAAGTTTAAAAAATTTCTCAGTGAATATATATATTATATATATATATATAATACTTACTCTATGATGAAATTCTAATTTAGCAATTAAAAGAGTACAGTAGCATTGGATTAAACGCCCATATCCATCTTTCAGAAGACCCTGGAGAGAAAAAAATAGAGAAATTGAAATAAGAAAAAAAAAAAAAAGAAAGAAATCTAAAAAAATATCAAATTCATATTTTTCCCATTCCACAAACTCTTTCCAAAATAAATACTTTCAAACTGTCAAATATTGTAAATTTTAATTCCATAACTCACATATTTCATGAAAATCAGCAATAATTTTAATGAAAAATGTTAAAGCAATTTTGATAAAAAGACAGACCTATGAACTTTATGCAAAAAAGGAAGACACAGAAATCTGAATAAGTGAATGTGCATTAGTATCAATGTGCTGTTCCATTAAAAAGAAACCACACAATTTTAGGGGCCAAAGAAGTGCATTTTAGTTTACTTGTTTCTCCACAGAAAAGGAAAAATTGGAAACATTCTCTAATTTCATGACAAAACAATTTGAAAAATTCACTGTGTGAGTGGAGTAGAAGAATATTACCTTTTCTTTCCTTTCTTTCTTTTTGTGAAAATGTTCTCATCAACTATCCATCATGTAAAGATCATGTATCCATCATGTAATCAATTATCATCATCAGTTTCATCAATTCATTCATGTAAAAGGAAGGCAGCTGCCTTACTTTTACATGAATGGATTTTCAAATACTTGAAACATTGGCCTACACATATTAAATATTAACTTGTGCAATATTCAATTTTGGGGGCTTTCTGGTTATGATCGAACATTTCTTATCAGCCTTAACTGCGGTTCACAGTGCAGTATACTGTTGCAAATGGGGGAAGCTATGCAACATTCCCACCCCAAAATTATACTGAACAAACATGACTAATTTCATTTCTGCCAGCCACAACTTACATTGTACTTTCTCTTGATTGGAAAACATCCTCATGCTCTGCCAGTCTCTAATTAAATGCCATGAACAGCTCCTCATCCTTCCTCTCCTCTAACAATCCAAGCAACACCACTCAGCACCATTCTTTAAAGCAAACAGAAATGCTTTTAGTTCTTTTCAGAACTCCGATACAGTAAACACAATGATTTCAGATATACATGTCGTTCTTTTTTTATCATTTCTTTCTTGAACACCTTGTACTATTCTGTCCACAAAATAAAATAAAATTATAAAGTTTGCTATGTTTTGCAATCATCCAAATAACGTACAAACTTCTGACACTTGTTAAGTAAATGCTAAGCATGAAATAATAATTGAAACATGTGGAGGGCGCATAAAAGACTCTTTTTTTTAAAAAAACTAAGAACCACAAATCAGCCAACCACTTGTGGTGATGTAACTTAGAGTAACAGTCAATCAAATGTAAAATTGAAATTAAATAAGCTAGTAGCCAAAGGATGCACAGATAAATTTAAATGCGAAATTGGCTCACAATCAAACCAACAATGGTGGTGGTTTCGATATCAACAATTATAATGCAAGGCCCAAAACTACAAATCTTATCTCAGCTCGCAACCTAGTAAAGTGGCCTTGAGAGGCAGAATGTGCTCTGAATTCAATCTAAAAGCTTCATTTTAAATATATGCAAGTTTATTTGTATTCAAGCAAGAAACCGCAAGGAAGAAGCAACACCAAAGGTGTAAATAATAACTAGTTAATTAACATAAAAAACTCTACCAAAATAACAGCACAACTAATCATAATTTTGAAAGCTGTGTTTAGGTTTCTGGAGAATATTATCCCATGCTTTTGACACTGAAATCACTTAATGCTCCCTTTTCTACAAAATATCTAGCTTTTTACTTCCTTGTACGAAGTAAAAAGGAAGTATTGTAAATGCGAAAAGTTTCAGGCAACATATTTCAACGAAAATATCTATTTTGACCACTATCGAATGCAATTTAACGATGTTTTTGCGCGATATCTGTGCGTAAGGACAGAATAAAAGACACCTTTCCTCCAAAAAAATTATAAAACTGCTTTAAAATTAATTCTGAAGAGAATTTTTTGTGGCGTCTGTATGAACGTATGTACGTACGTACATATCTCGCATAACTCAAAAACAAGTAGCCTCAGAACGTAGAAATTTTGTATATAGGACTGCTATAACATATAGATGTGCACCGCGTATTTTGGTTGCAATCGGCTGCACCAAACGTATATAAATATATTTATATAAATATATTTAAATATATTTAAATATATTTAAATATATTTATATATATATCCACTCTGTTACCCGGCTCAGTGATCTCAGTATCTTTACTCTTATATGTCTGTAAATTGTACATTTTTTGCTTTAAAAATGATTGAATTACGTTGTTTTTATCTTCCGGTTAAGGTTTTTATGCCTTTCGTAATTCTGGAAGCAATATTTGTACAATTATCAACAATTTAAAAGCTGTTTAACTGCGGTTAAGTTTTAAATAACATGGCGGACATATTTGTTTACATTTGAAACAGCAGAATTGTAGATTTGTTGCCAATCTAGAGAGACTAAGCTTTGCAACAACAAAGATAACGCCTTCATTTATTATCGCGAATTAAATCATGCTTAATCCTTTCTGGAATTTTTTCGAGGAAGTAAGTGTTTAAAATTTACTTCATAATTTTTAATATAGATATTTTGAGTTTTTATGTATTTTTGCCTTGTCATGAAGTGAGAGCTGAATTAATTGAATGAGAAATACTAAATCGTCTATGAAAAACTGTTTCTTTTCTGTTTTGTTTGCTTAATTTCTTTCATACATCGTTTTAGCTTTATTATAGTATTTGAATAGAACATGTGGCAACGATAATTCTTCAAATGATATAAATTTTGTGCATTCAGAGTGTCGTTATTGTACACAAATATAGTAAATTTTAAAGAGTGCACTTATTCTACTGTGGTTTATGCGCTGTCGACGAAGTAGATTTAATTCAATCCAATCAATTTAAATGAAATTCAAGAAAAAATGCATATAATTTAATATTCCGTACAAGGAAGTCATGTGGTGTACACATCAGATTTTTTACCACCATCAAGCTGATATGATGAATAAGCAGAAATGGAAGGCATTCACTACTGAAAAGAAAAAGAATTCTCCACTGCAAGCTGAACAGTATAACAATTCATCTACTACTTATTTTTATAAAAGAGGTGGGATAATTTTGTTTAAAAATGAGAAATTAAAGGAGGTTCAAAAACTGCTGTTCCCTTATGTAAAATAATTAAGAAATATTTACATATAACACATTATCATTACATTGATTATTCATAAATACAAAATCATACACATAAAAATACCTTTCTGATCTGATTTATAACCTAGACATATTATCCCCCCCTTTTTTTTTTGATTAATTTGGATTAACTGACTATTCAATTATTTGGTCTAAGGTCTTGTTTCAGTGTTCACAGAAACCAGTTAATCAGTAATCTACTTTTCATGTATACCTACATACTCAAAACATGCCCCCAGTAAAATGGCAAATAAGAACAGATTTAAAAAAAAAACTATTAATTTAAAAACAAATTTACAAACTCGATATTTATTTCTATGACTAACTTTAACATATTAAAAAATAAAAAGTATTACAAAAATTACACATACCCACTGCTTTCCTAAATCTTTTAAGCTGGATTTATATTTTTGAGAATCTAAAATTGCCTGTAATGGAAAGACAATGAGAATACATTTCCAATTACCATGTAATATATATTTTCATCATTAAGTGAATCATTATAGATATGCAAAATATGAAACAAAAGAGAATAAAGAATGTTACATTATTCTGTAATATAGTGCTAGCATAATAAAGTGCATTTTAAAATAATCAAAACAGAAGAGAAAGAAGCCAAAGTAAAACATAAAATTGGTAAATCAACACCCTTACATTTGACAGATTTATTCAAGAACTCTATTCATTTTGAAAGCATAAAGGTATATGTTCCTCTTCATCAGCAGCACAGAAATCTGCAATGAAGGGAAAGCCACACTTGTATTTATACCCTATGGGAAGGGTAAAGTGAGTGAGAAGATAGTGCCATCTGTCAGCAACAGCAGTAATAAAAATTGAAAAATTAATAGAATTTTAAAAGTATTAGGAAAGACTGGATTTGAATTAAAGTCATTAACTAAACAAACTAAATCTTTGAGAATATGAATGTTCAAGAAAATACATCCAAAGTCAAAATTATGATTAAATTTTCAACTACGATTAGCTATAGAAGACTTGTTAATTTCGCTTTTTAAAGTAATAATAAGAAACACAAGTTTAGTTTCAGAAAAAGTAAAATTAACAAGTATTCGATAGCCAATCACAGAAATTTAATCATAATTCTGACTTTAGATCTGCAAAAATTATCCAAAAAACTTCTTGCGTTGTTGAATTGGATTTTCTTGAAGTATGAGGTATTTTCTTCCTACTTTCATTGTGTAGCTGAAAGCATACTCGATGCATATCCGAGAGGTACAGGGTTCGAGAACCAGCAAGGGCATTGCATAATTTTTACGTCTTCAGCATTAAAAATCTTAATGACTTTACAGTTGGCCCCAAACTAAAAGGTGGTGGATGATAATTCGTCACCACCAGAATTTGGCAATTGGGTTCCCTCATCCCCAGTCGCTTTTTAAAAGGGGACATATACAAGGTATTTTCTCCATCCTTTTCACATGCCTTCATGGTATAACTAGAAACATAATCAATGCATATTCAAAGGTCCAGGATTCATTCGAATTCTGGTGAGGGCACTGCCCATTCTTCACATCTTTTACATCAAAAACTCTAATGACTCTACAAAGTTCACAAAGTACATTCACAAAGATTTATCTTGTTTAGTTAATGACTTTAATAAAGTCTTTCATAATGCTTTTAAAATTCTATTAACTTAATTTCCTAATTTGAGTTACTATTTCTGTCAACAGATGGCACTACCTTCTTGTTTGCTTTACTCCCATAGGTTATAAACAGAACCATGGCTTTGTTGCTGATTTCTTTTCTTCTGATGAAGAGAAAGCTGTACCTGCTTGTCCTCGAAATTGATACAGTTAAATCTATGCCAAATACAAGGTTGTTGTCTTCCTAAATTTTAGTACATTTAGATTTCTCAAAAATGATAATACATATAGACGTTTAAGTAGCAAAGCTGAAAATCAGAGCAAAACACACAGACAGATTAGGAATTCTCAAAAATTATAAATATTAACACAAAATAAGAAGAAATATGTACATTTCATCTCATATGAATTACAAAAACTGCTCTTAAAGATTTAGAAAGACTGCAAAAACATTTCATACCAACTGCCTCAGATTTTTTTTTTTTTTAATAACATATGCATGTAAAATATTTACTAAAGGTAATACATTCCAGAAGTTTACATACATTAGGGTCACTCAATCTAAAAAGACATTCAAAATTTTGATACATTTTGAGTATATAAGAGATTATTCCAATTTAATATGCACTACCTGATAGTCCATATAGATGTGCATATGTTACAATGTTTTGTACTCTTTGGAAAGATAAAATGTACGAAACATGGGAAGACTTTACATGAATTATCACTACATCTTGTAAGTATCATAGAGAAATGGAAAAGGGTGTAAGGAATCCTTTATTTAGCTAAAATAAAAATTAATGGAAGGCAACCCTTGTATTTACAAATATAGCCAACAGTTATATCTTAAATAAAACTGACTTAACTAAGTAAAACTAAACTAGCTTAGCAGTTACACTATTAAAGTTGGCTCTGACCTAAGGGTCGGTGTGACAAACCTAATGGCGAGAATAATGCAGCCCTGGAGAATACTCTCAGGTGATTCAAAATTAACAATACGGCCTTCAGTAGGTAAAACATGCCCTATTTCTACTCTCTAAAACCTTCCTTTAAATACTCTCTTCTTTCTACCTCATTTGATTATTGAAGGAGCTAGAAATTTGCATTCTGGCAGAAAAATAGAAATGAGGAGGACAGAAAAGTTCACTACAACTGGTTAAAAACTAAACGATACCTTACAACATCTAGGCAAGGTATTCTGTGACAAAAGTCATATTTCAAGGAAAATTCCTTAACTATCACATATCCAATCTTAAAAAATGAAACATACTGTAAAGCTTTTAAATCTTGATAAAGCATGTAAAGTTTAACTTAAAAAAACATACTTGACACAACATAGCTAACTCCTAGCTTTTTATTTTCTTTATTATAAATGCTATGCAAATACGCTTATATAAAGCAGCAGTATTCAAATTATCAATGGTTGCCACACTTTGATCCCTGATGACATTTAATGCTTTTGCTTTTTGTTTTGCAGATACCTTAATCTAAGGTTACTGAAACATTTAATCTAAGGTTAATCACACGAGGTTCACAAAATTTAAAATAAACTACTATAATATATACAAATATTGAATTGTCAACTCTGAAACAAATATAACCAATAATGTACAAAAATGTACTAAAGAAATATTTATATGTTACATTACAATGTTTGTTACATAATAATAGTTTTTATGTTAAATGATAACATAACCTCGATGCCTGGCAGATATATTTTAAATTTTTCCAGAAGCTATAATCTAATAGAAAAACTGTCTTAAAGCAAACAACCACTGTCAATTCTATTTTTTATTAATTTATTTTTATTTGACTTATCATTCTTTCTACATAAGAATGCTCTAGATCAAGTGTTCCCAATGTGTTAGTATCGAGCTGAATAGGCACCAGCAATTGCTTGGTATAACCGAGGTACCATTGATTACACAAAATTCATTAATAAAATTTATAATTAATTGTTTACTGATATAAAGCTGCATATGTAGTAAGGAAGAAATCATAAAACAAATGTAAGACGAAAAAATGCCTCAAAATTTAAAAATGATAAATGTGGTTTCAAAACTGAAAATTATCAATATCAATGGTTAATATAACTTCAGTTCAATTCATCATTGTTCAAAAACTCAATGTTCTTCGAAAACTATAAAATATATCAGATTAAAAGATGAATAAATGTTTCATTCAGAACAGAATGTACTTACATTTGGATGTCCTTCTCTTAAAACTTTGTGCAAGACATGACAAAACTTCCAACAAACTATCGGATTTCCTCGCAATGATAACTTTAAAACAACACTCCAAAATGTTCCAGCACCTTTTTCATTGAAAGTTCCAATAATAGCAGCTAAATAAGCTCAGGAAAAATTTTTAAATCACAGCATAAAAAATATAACGAAGTATGAAAATATGCACATCTAACTCTCAATACTCAATAAATCCAAAGTAACTATATAACCATTTGATTCAGAAAGTCTCTGAGTAAATAAAGCAAATAATTAAATTCTGCAGTCATATACTTTGCATGACAAGCTCCTGTAACCAATAAATAGAATCATATTTATGTTTTACTCAATATGTTTAGCAGCCATTGGTCAAAAATTTAAACAGTGTGTATAATAGGCAAACAATTCTCAAATTAAAAATTGCAAAAGTTTATTAAAGGTCTTGGCAATAATTTAAATTTAATTTTTTATGAATAATAAGTATCTGTTATTTTTATCTATTCAAATAATATTATGCACTTATTTTGGTCTGCTTAAAATCTCAAATAAACCATTGCTATATACTATGCATTTAAATAATGCAGCAGAATTTTGATAATCTGTAAATGCCTACAATCAAAAATCAATTTTTAATGTAAACAAACAAAATTACATTTCTTAGAAAATTTAGCACCATAAATTTAATGTAAATTTAATCTTTTCTCACATAAATATGTAAATACACTTTTTAACAAAAATGTACTGTATATTTTGACTAAAGAATGTATTTACTTTAATACTGAAGTCATTTTGCATTTTCCCTACATTGAGAACATACATGAAGAAACTTAACTGGTAAAACTTAAAAACATAATAACAAAGGAATAAAAACAAAAATGTTCTTTTAATAAATCCAAAATTTCAGTTTTAGTCCCATTAATCCAACTATACATATATAAAACATAACCATCGATTTAGCGAATTAGCAAAAACAAAAGTAACTTTGCAAAATTAATCTGGTTAATGAAAATGAAAATTAAGTAACAAATGTTATAAAGGAAAAAAAATCTTCACACTAATAAGCAGATAAGAAACAAAACATTGTTTATTTTTTAGTCAAAGAATAGAAATATCATACAATTTTTTCAAAAATAATACTATTTACATTTATTACACTACAAAATTCTTTCTTATAGACCTATACAATCCTCCCAAAATAAAGGTTTAAGAATGGCCTTCAAATCATTAGATAAAACCTCATAGGTCATAGAGTACTGCAGCTTTTTATTACTATAAATTAGTGAAAGTCCATGAAACTTGATTTTCTTTAGGATGTCTTACAAGTATTAACATTTCTTATTGTTGCTGCTCTACTTCAGTATATTCTCAATATATTTTATTTGATTATTAATAGTATTACTTAAAACTTTTTTGGAAATGTGAGAAAACTAGTTAATAAGTTTTATAGTAGCAATTTAAAATCTCTTTTTTTTTTTTTTTTTTTTTTATTTATTTATTTATTTATTTATTTATTCTTATATGTTAACAATGCATAGATCAAGATAATCTATTTCTAATTCATCTAAGTTGCTCTTGTTTAGTTTCAGGCATTCAGGGTAAATATTGCTGTTTTCATCGAGATTAAAATTGTTAAAGGTTATTATATCGTCAATATATCTGTAGGTGAAGGCAAACAACACTGCAATTTAAGAAATTCTCTTTTGAAATATCACTAATATCAGCAAAATCCATTAAAAAATATTGGTACTTTCTTATCTTATGAAAGCGTGTATCATATAAGCTTTTAGTGTAATATGTACCACATAAGCTTTAGAATGTAATAATTCATATTTTATTAGTTCATTCCTTTCTAAAGAATATAAGGATAAATTAAGTATACTCATATAAATTATTTGGTACTTTTCTTTTTTACAGGGACCAGATTCAGAAATGTATATATGTAAGATGAAAAACATGTAAATCAAAATTATAATTTAAACTAACGGGAACCCTTTAATTCTCCCTCCTAGATCACTCCATTTTGCATGGCCTGCACAGCGCTGATGATGTAATAATTGGGAACTGAAACTTTTAACTCATACGAAAACCTTTCTCTTTGTGTGCTTTCATAATTGGATAACTATGCACTTTAGCTTTTGCCTCTGTGTTACTTAGACATTGCTTCATTCTGCTCTATTCCTATGGCAACAATATCAAAAATGTAAATATTCTTGAATAGGCATGACAAATTGGGAACTACTCTGATATGCGCCCTCAAGTCGCCAAATTTCGCGCCAAATATTTTTGGCGAGAAACTTCACGCTGCTATATTACTATCTAAATTTTTTGTCTACATTTCGAACTTTTAGCCTAAAATGTCTCCAAAAACGTGGTTTTCACACATGCAAAAACAACGTTTTCAACATACAATTTAGCTAAAAATCCGAAAGAAAAACAAAAAAATCTAGGTAGCAAAAACGTAAAGTTTCTAACCAAAAATATTTGACAAGAATCCATGTACACGGCAACATGTTTTAACTTCAAAAAAACATCTACGAATGGCACAATGCAGGCAACGAACGAATCTACAAACTACGCACACCTCGCTTTAATAAATTAACATAACAACAATAAATTTCAAAGAATACCATGTACACAGCATCCTGTTTAAACTTAAAATTCTACGAATTGCACAATTTAGGCAAGGAAGGAATCTACGATCTACGCACTCCTCGCTTTAATAAAATAACATAACAACAATAAATTTCAAATAATACCATCTACACAGCATTCTGTTTCAACTTTAAAAAACATCTATGAATTGCACAGTCTAGACACTAAACAACAAAATAAATTTCACACAGTTTAAAAAAACAACAATAACGACAGAAATTCATACTAAAGAACCAATGAACATAACATTCTACAAAATAAGAAGAAGGATAAAATAAAATGCACTTAGCATGAATTAATGCGTTTTCGAATAGCAGAAATATAAATTTCATACTGCCTTTAACATGCCGCCACGTAATCACGATCGTATTTACATGACAGCTAGACACACTATCCAGAAAATTTATACTATGGTTCACAAATAAATAAAATCACAAATCTCTACTTCTATCATGCACTGCCATTAAAAATAATCTCCCAGACCCTCTTTCCACACTTCCAAATACCCACTACCCCTCAACAGGATAGCCACAATGATATTTCCTTTTGCTGAACTTCAATTCAACAACTACCATTTTATCTTTCCCTCCGGGGATCTCTCAGACACAGAGGCGAATCAACGAGCTCCAGCGAAAGATTTTTCAACGTCAACAGGGTTGCCATAGAACACGCAATCGTGCCAAAAACCAGCGCAGAACACATATCGCCAGATTTGGTGAAATTAGGGCATATATTAGAGTTGTACCACAAATTGAAATTTGTGGTGTGAACTGTGGCCACAAATTTCAATTGCAAATAAAAATGGAATTAAAACTGCTTTGACTGCCAAGTTTTTTTTAGATATTACAAAGTCAACATTATTAGCATACTACGCAATCAGAATTCTTCCTCTTCAATATGGATCTAGGATCCATAACACCTAGGTATTACGCATCGACCCTGCTCCGTCTTTACCTTGCTATTATTACCATATATGTATATATACATACATATATGTTATATACATGCGTACATATATATGTGTGTATCCACAAACATACATAGTACGTGCACACTTCTGAATCTACTCCTGGTAACAGAAAAATACCAATTATTTATTGAATTGAAATATTAAACATATTCATCAATGGAAATACTAAACACTTACACTTAAATTATGCAAGTTTCGAAAGAAAAAAAAAGAGCATTGCAGGCATAAGCCTGAAGTAAAATTATCATATTTGATTACAAAACTCTATCATATTCAACCATAATAATTGATGAAGATCTCACCAAACTTACATCTGTCATTCCAGCAGATGTTTGAAGGAACAGATCACTCTTTATTTAGTTAATCAACATATACAAGTTACTGACCTAACGTATATAAAAAACTTAAATTGCTTGTCATAATTTTTTACATTTCACAGCCAGTATTTATCCTTCATACTTTTCTTGATGCCAGAACCTCATAAACTGCTCTACTAAATGCTATTTCACTGAAGACAAGTAAAAAATTTTTAACATTTTTTTCAAAATGCAATTGAAAAACATAAACAGCAATGAATGTATATCTTTTTATAAAAAAATTAAAGCAAATTATTGAGAATGAATCAGGTTTGCATAAACACAAAGTATGACATCACATTTATTCATTACTGGTGCTAAATCGCACTGTTTTGCAATAATTTTTGCTTGATTTGAATTGTAGTCCTATTCCTGTTTTATAATGGAGTTAAAATCTCTTATTTGCAAAATCTTATATTAAAGAAAAGTTTCTAAAATTATAAAATATTCTAGTTACTTGGGCTTTCTGGTTAGTTTTATGCCAGATAGTTAGGCTTTTACTGCATTAAGATATACGTAAGTCTATTGTAAAAAACTCTTTACATCAACTACGAAAAAAAAAGTCAAATAGGCACAGTCAAAAAATGACTGCATATTAAAGCTCCGATGCACTTTTACACAGTCAAAGGAAAACTTACATCCATTCTCAAATGTGATAATTGAAACAAAATTTTTTAAAAAAAATTATTATAATCATAGAAAAACAAAGATCTTTGAAAAATATTCAAAATAGAGAGTGATCCTTTTCAGAAATTGAACTAGCAGATTTGAAAAACGTATATCTCACAATAAATTCTAATTTAATATAAAACTGAGTTATACCAATGTAAACTATGATTTCTTACAGTTTTAACTTGTACTCTTTTTTACTGTTATTATTGACCCTCGTGTTAGACAAAAAATACCAGAAGGATTACACAAATAAGTTATAGTACTAACAAATTAAGTAAACAAATGTACAATAGCACTGCAAATGGGAAAAATTATAAAAAAATAATAAATTAAAATTAAAAAATAAAAAAGTGATAAAATAAAGAAGACTCAATCCACACTGAAAATGAAATTCCAAAAAGCAGAAACAATCTCTTTAGTCTGAAAAAGTTCAAAAACATTTGTAGCCAAAATACAAACAGATATTTTAAAG